AACTGTGAAGGACAGGTGTATGTTTCAGTTGACCGACTAATGACGGTCACAAATTGAGTTCCTTATTAAGGTCGATAGGTAGGTTATAAATTACTTTTTGCTCACTTTAATGCTTTTTGTGTTCAGGAGAAATACAGGGATATGATTGTCATGAATTATATTTGAATATCAACAAATAATTTATGAGTGAGTGAGTTTGGTTTTACGCCGCTTTCAACAGTGTTCCAGTTATATCACGGCGTGTCAGCTTGATGTATGAGGTTGGTGGAACCCACGAGCACGGGTATGGTGCTGACAAACCTAGAAACATATTATTCGTGAATCTGGGATTCGAACCCACGATCATCGCTTTCTGGCACGCTTAAAGGACGAGAAGATTCGCCCGGGATGTAGCACGTTTCATATGACAGGAAACGAATGTTGGGGTGATAATATATTTCTGTGAACTGGGATTCGAATCCATGGTTCTCTGTTTCTGGCGTGCTTGCCTAAGGCACTGCTAATTGCGGCGGCTGAGACACTTGATAGCAGGATTTCAGTTCGGTTTATTTTTCACCCAGAGCCAAAAATATATTTGTTTTCGAATTTCGTAATGATATTTAAGAATTACAAAAAAATAGTCAGAAAATTATGAATATGTCCCAATGTCATTTGTCTCTTGCAAAATCACTGACCCGTGAAGCACACATAGTCGCCTGTTAAACTACTAAGGGTCCATGGTGATTACTCCGAAAACCAATCAGTCAATAATTTTCCCGCCAAATCACTGCTGCTTGTGAATTATCAAATTTCGGGGAGACAAACCAGTGATTGATGGTATATATAAAAGCGTTTCGCGCAAAAGGGAATTGACACACAATGAACCAAGTTCCCGACCCTGACCACCTTGAGGCCCCTCTTACGACCAGCAAAAAAAATACTGGACCCCGCTTTTCAAAGCGATCTCAGCACAACGACTGCAACTAGTCTATGATAAAGAGGGGCGGTTGGGTAGCCTAGTGATTAAAGTGTCCGCTTGTTACGTCGAAGACCAGGGTTCGATTCCCCAAATGGGTACAGCGTGTGAAGCCCATTTATGGTGTCCCCCGCCGTGATATTGCTGGAATATTGTTCAAAGCTGCGTAAGACCATTCTCACTCACATACTATATTATAGAACGGGGGCTACGAAAGCTTTGTGGAGCGAGAACCGGACCTATTCTAAACCGGGTCATCGCGTTCTATGGAGAGGCTTTTATGGGTGTAGTTAATACCCACCTTCACACCTGAGGCAAAGTACATTATATGTCTCAGCGTTTATTTCATTGTAAGGTCATCAAGCAGAATGCGCGACTGCCTGAGACAAGATGTTAATTGATCTGTCAGTAGACTCAAATATTATATCTCAATAAAGTACGGTGTGCCGCGTGATCTTTTGCAGTATTGCGACTACGGTGTTTGAGTTTGGGCTAACAGCTTTCCCATGTAGGTTGATGATTTGAAATCCACTCCAGCAGATACTCGTCCACCGACACGATTATTGTGATGCAATGCTCGGTCAGGGCTAATGTGACATGACGCATGGCCCCGACTCAGCAATGCGATACAAGCATTGATTAATATTAAGGTAAAGAGGGTGAGTTTTAAGATCACATCGATCGTTTCAAGGATAATTATAAAGGAGTGTTGTTTTACGCCTCATTCAGCACTATCCCTGCAACATCACGTCCGTAGGAGTGAGTGTGAGTTAGTTGGGTTTAACGCCGCTTTTAACAGTTTTCCAGTTATATCACGGCGTGTCAGCTTCATGTGGGAGGAAAGTCCGAAGTGATGCAGGTTTCAGACGTTTACCACCTCGGTGAAACCCACGAGCACGGGTATGGTGCTGACAAACCTAGAAACATGATCGGAGTGAACCGGGATTCGAACCCACAATCATAGGTTTCTGGCGTGCCCAAGGGACGCAACCCTGCACAAAGAATCGCGGCGCCTTAGACGACTGGGCTACCCGTGCCCCCACGTCCGTAGGAAGTAGAATGGGTTCACACATTGGGGTATCGAACCTGGAGCTTCAGTGTGACGAGCGAATATTTCACCACGATAACTAGGCTACGCCACCAATATCCAAACGAACCTAACGAGGAGATCGACATTAAAAACAGCGATATATATTTATGCACAGTGAAATATTATATTATTTACATTCAAAGTCCTAGGGATTGTCGAACTGATAGTCTTAGTCCCATAAAGTGGTGGTACAGAAGCAACTGATTTTGCTTGGGCCATAATTTGAATTGGGTTGAATAAAGTTGTCACTGTATTTCATGGAATGTCAGTGTATTCGAAGTCCTTGGGACAAGTCGAGTTGACATAATATTTCATAGCATCACCTGGCCTTATGCGTTGCCTCGGGCCAACCGTCCTTGGAACTGTTTGCTTACTTCTTTGTTTGATTGATTTTTGACCCCGCACTCAGCAATATAACAGCTGTAAGACGGCGGTCTGTAAATAATCGAGTCTGGACCAGCCAATCCATTGATTGACATCATGAGCATCGATCCACGCAATTGGGATACGATGACATGCATCAACCAGGTCAGCGAACCTGACCACCCGATCCTGTTAGTCGCCTACGACAGGCAGAGTCACCTTTTACGGCAAGCATGGGTTGTTGAAGACCTATTCTACCCAGGATCTTCACGGGTATAAAGTCCGTGACTTAAAAATATAACCTCCAAAATTTCCAACCCCTTAATATTAAATGGCATGCCCTTTATCAGGGCGCGCTAAGAGTTTATTTTACCCATAGCTCGTGAGGTCCGATTTCTGTACATGTAGAACTATGTCATGTTGCCTTCCGTGACAAATACACATTAATACATGTATACAATGTACTGTTTCTATATACTGACACTGCCCGAGGACGAAAAAAACCAAACCCACTTAATCATTTAGGGCATTTGAGAGCGTTGGCTATCAGTGTTGTGATCTAAGTTACTTTATGTCCCTGGTTCTAGCCGCGAGACACTTACACATGTTTCGCTGAACAAAAACATCAAACATAAAATAAACAAGCGAGGTATATTTTTTCATCGTCACCGGTGTGTTCCGAATGCATTACAAGTCTCCTTGGTCACTTATAAATATTACATGTTTCATATATCAAACATATCGTATCACACACTGGATGCACGTTATTTTTATTGCATTGTTTTGTATAATTTTATGTAAATACGAGACACTTTCATTATACTCAAAATGGAGACTGCGCCAGTCTAGCTTTGTCCATGATGCTGTTTGCGTATTTTGGCTTCCGTCTGTCAAATATGGCAGGGAGAATGGAGTTGTATTTATAAGTCTATCGATCATAGCTGACATATGGTCACGTGGCTGGTCAAGCCATTCGTGAAATGGCGCTACCTGTAAATGCCAGTGATGTTTAAAGAGCTGTGGTTATTCTCATGAACGTAGTTAGTTAACTTCGGCTGCACGTCCCGATCTACCCCGGCCGCGTTATAACGCAGTGTTTTATTTCAGGAAAGTCAAAAGTCAAACCGTCCTCTGTAACAGATGGGAGAACAGGTGAGGGTGTGCGTGTGTGTACGTGCGTGCGTGTCCGTGCGTGCGTGCATGTTTTCATTTTCAGGGTTTGTAGGGTGAGGGGTGGGGGTGAGTGTGGTAGGGTTAAGCTCCCGGCCATCACGTGAAAGGACAGGGGCGATTCCCCACATGGGTGCAATGCGTGAATTAGACCATTTCTAGTGTTCCTCCGCCGTGATATATGGTCTATATGTCTGTGTGCTAGGCTGGATTTATAGTGCTGGCGCACTGAGATACAACGCCGCAGTTTGTTCAACATACAGTATACTGACTCCGAGCCGACCAGTCCTTGTTTCATCGAGCTATTTTGGTGATTTTAAAGGCTTTTCAGGGTTGACTCTAAACATCCCTATTCAACAATCTATCGTATACTTTAGCAGTAAGCTGTCATTATGGTATGAAGGTGTTCCTCAATAATGATTAATGTGAGCGGAAAGAAATGACAGCAGCTGATAACACTACTTTGAACTCCAAGGGAAACCACATTTGAAATATATGTCGGGTTAGACGTGTCTGCTGGTACGTTAGTCTGAAACCTATGAAAATCTGGTAGTTTTCGTTCAATATCAACACGTAGTTATTTTATTTAAACCACTGGTCCAAAATGAGCAGGTTACTAGGAATAGTGAGCGTAGTTGAGCAGGCAGATGTTGTAAGAATATAGATCTACACTGCAGGTATATCTATAATGGAGCGTGTGAAGGGCAACAGATGGCAAACACTCAAAGGACATGGTATGATTATATATTAAGATATTTGTATAATTAAATCTCAGCCTGGCTTAGTGTATCGTTCGAGTCATAAAACTTGCAACCGTGTCCTTCACTAAGCTTACGTAAACAATTTTGCTAAAAACATTTTTAAAGTTGAAGTTATTGTATAAATAATCTATTTAAGTGAAAGTGTGACACTTCCCAGACACGAGCGGGCTGTTTCGTGGTAAAGCGTGTTTGTTAAATCATATATATGGTAAATTACATCTTGAGTGCGGGACAGTCATGTCAAGGTTATAGGTAAGTTTGTAATGTGCCCAATTTTTATTAATTCACTCATATTCATTTACTTGCAAAAGAATTCAATAAAAGTAAGAATAATCAGATAAGCGTTGAGATATCAACATGCCACACAACAACTGTGGCTGCAGTTCTGATTGCCCTTAACCACAATACATATTTTGATTAATATACATCTCTTGGATCGACATATATCTATTTTATTAAAACGCTAGATGATTATTCAGCTGGGTACACCCAAATGTTCATCGATACAAACGCGAGAATGATTTTTGTCTTTCCTATAAATCCAATGGATATATCAATTAATTCATTTGATGACATAATAATATTTGAATGGGTGATGAATTAGATAGATCTGAAAAAAATGACAAATTTATTTATTTGATTCATATGTCTGTGGACTCACTTGGGTAGAAGTCCGGCAATGGCTGTTCATGTGGTGATCCTTCAGACACGGGTTCGCTGGCAGGTTGAGAACTGTTTCCATGTTTTGCTCTCGACACAGGGCTGCGTCCACGTGTTGCATGAGCCGAGCCATCGTAATCCACGGTTATGGCAAACAGCGCTATAAACACCACTTGCAAAACCAAAAGCACACACGGAAATTTCACTTTGCCGATACAAACAGACCCCATGGCTTCAAAGACTTCGCAGATATGTTTTTGCTAAATGTCGTCTGCTTCAGTTCCCGATGACGTCACACGCGCGAGCCCCGCCTACGTGTCATTAACGAAACAGACGACAATATTGACAAGACGATTTGGTTACAGCTGTTTACTTTGGTCACGTAGATGAGTTGAGAAAATAATAGTTCGGTTGAATATAATTTTGTCACACTGGGGAAAATTAACCCCAAAGAGATTTCCTTTGAACTTGTTAACTTTGGGCGCAATTTGTTTGAAACTCGGGAAGCAATAGCCGCGTGAGTACAAACAGCTGTATCAGTCGAAGCCAGTGGTCGCAGGTCGGCGCAACCAAAACAGATGTCCGTGACAATTAGACAATCGCACATTAACCTACTTATGATATATCGCCTAAAGGTTATGATTGCTGATTATGCAGTTTCAATTATATCCTTGTCTATATAACAATAGACATAAAAAAATAATTTAAAAAATACATGTTTGGAGTCATTTTACCACTACCTCCACTCGGGCCGACCCAAGAAACAGATCACTGCTTCCAAACATTTTTTTTTTTTATGAAACAAATTATGTTTTTCAAATCTAAATTCTTGAACAAAAATTATCCTTTATAAAAAAATAGGCTAGATTCACTCCGCTCACCTTTCACCCCTCGATACACATTCACTCACACACACGCACAGAGAGAGAGACACACACACACACACACACACACACACACACACACACACACACACACACACACACTAACAGGCTACCCTTCTATTGCCGAGGATAAAGGCTTGACATTATATCTGCTTTATAGTCGGTGTTATGGTCAAGCGAATCCAGGTTTGCCCTTATTTGCCGTTCGCGTGTTTCACCAAAGTGGTAAACGTCTGAGACCTGCATCACTTCGGGCTTTCCTCCCACTTAAGCTGAAGCGTAGCAGTGATATGACTAGAAATGCTGTTCAAAGCGACGTTTAACCCAACTCACTCACTCATAATGATTATGGCTGTAATTCATCATACATTTACTTAATACTTATCTGTTGTGACCAACAGTAATAACACAAAAACGAAAGACCTCTTTTGCATAATCAGCAAATTAATTGACATTTTGTCTTTAAAATTGGGCGATAACTTTGGATCTAACGTGAATGCACATATTGAGATAATTTCGTTTGTTGTCAAGTTTCTGTTAGTGTTGAACATCCGTTGCGTTCGCACGTATTCTGTGATTCTGGAATATCACATTTTGGAACATGATGCTAGTTTTATTACGGCCGTGGAACCCTTCAAAGTTGATGATGCTACACTGGTCACTCACTCAGTATCCAATACCACTAGAGCACTACGAAGAAACTAAGGTTATATTTTTTTTCAATACTGGCCACTAGTGCCCCTCAGTGAATGAATGAGTGGACGATGATTAACGCCGAGGTCAGCAATATGATGGCAGCTTGTAAGTAATACCTGTATTGAATAGCATTAAGGTCAAATAAATACCCTGATAACTCTTTGAGTGAGTTACAAGATTACATCGTGTTGGCTTCCAGGTTTATGATGTATGAGTGAGTGAATTACAAGATTACATCGTGTTGGCTTCCAGGTTTATGATGTATGAGTGAGTGAATTACAAGATTACATCGTGTTGGCTTCCAGGTTTATGATGTATGAGTGAGTGAATTACAAGATTACATCGTGTTGGCTTCCAGGTTTATGATGTATGAGTGAGTGAATTACAAGATTACATCGTGTTGGCTTCCAGGTTTATGATGTATGAGTGAGTGAATTACAAGATTACATCGTGTTGGCTTCCAGGTTTATGATGTATGAGTGAGTGAATTACAAGATTATATCGTGTTGGCTTCCAGGTTTATGATGTATGAGTGAGTGAATTACAAGATTACATCGTGTTGGCTTCCAGGTTTATGATGTATGAGTGAGTGAATTACAAGATTACATCGTGTTGGCTTACAGGTTTATGATGTATGAATGAGTGAGTGAGGTACAACATTACATCGTGTTGGCTTCCAGGCTAATGATGAGTGAGTGAGCCAGGCTCTTGTGGCAATGTTTACAAAGTATTCCCCAGTGCCCGTGGAGTTGTAGCAATGATTCTGTCCTGGTCGCAAGATATCAATCAAGCAAGCAAGCAAGCAAGCAAGCAAGCAAGCAATCTTTATTCAAGCACTTAAGAGGCCCTAGGCCTATAGTTCATGTGACAGAGGTGTTGCACACAATTTTAACTATTATTTACAAATTTGGTTCTATAAGCAAGCAAGCAAGCAATCAAGCAATCAATCTTTATTCAAGCACTTAAGAGGCCCCACGCCTATAGTACATGTGACAGAGGTGTTGCACACAATTTTAACTATTATTTACAAATTTGGTTCTATATAACAGTGCGTGGAATATATACATGGCTAAGTTCATATTATTAATTTATCTAGACTGTTTAATGATTGTCGGAATTTCACTATTTTTGGATCATTAAAGTAATATAGAGGAATATATTTTTTTCTCACAATGGAGTACGATGAACATACAAGTGATGTTCATCCTCTATATCTTGGCTATTACACATTTTACATAATCGATCTGACCTTGGAGTTCTTGTGTATCTCCCACTCTCGATGCATAAATCATGGGATGAACATCGAAATCTTGCCTATCAATTGCGGTATTTCTTTATATTTACATAAAAAAAGATACTGTTCAGTGTATATATGAGTTTTCGTCATTCTATAATATAAAAAAATATTCGATAATAAGTGCCCCTTATTATGACGAAACAATTATAATCATTGCTTGAACTCAGTAACACAATATCCACATAAACAAGGCCAAAATACATTATTCATTTCACTAACTGAACCATCTCGTCATTGTGGCATTGTAATGCTCTCATTTCGATGCGGCTGTACCGCGATGGGCAATAAAACGTGAAGAGAAATATACCCATACATATGTCGCTGAGGTTATGACACGTGTTGTACAACATAATCACTCAGACCTCCCATCTGCTGCAACTTCCCAATGGCCACGCTCTGGCAATTAAGAGTGAGTGAGTATGGTTTTACGCCGCTTTTAGCAATATTCCAGCAATATCATGGCGGGGGACACCAGACTTGGCTTCACACATTGTACCCATGTCGGGAATCGAACCCGAGTCTTCGGGGTGACGAGCGAACGCTTTAACCACTAGGCTACCCGACCGCCCCCCTCTGGCAATTGAAAGTTAATCTAAACTAGGATACGTGAATTCGGTATATGCTTCGATTAAAACTGTTTTATATTTGGAGTATGGGAAACTGAACGTTTCTGTTCAATGGTGTTAAGGGTACCCGTAGGGAATCCGGGTAAGATCTTGTCTCCAGTAAGAGGCAACCAAATGGATCGGGTGGAAGGCTCGGGGACATTGTTTATTGCGTGTGGATCGATGCTCATAACGTCAATCACTGGATTGACTGGCATCAACTCGATAACTTCGAGGCAGCTGTAATGTCACCAAATTTGCCCTGAATTATAACCGTAAGGATTCAAACAAGGCCACCTGCTTGGTGGTGAGACGGGGTGAAATGTGGTTTAACGTCCGGTCCACGATTATTGCACGTATACAGCGACGTGCATGCACATATGTATGCACGTGTGTGGCTGCTTGTACTAGTTCGGACTAATGCTGAGTTTATAGTGCTAGCATACTGAAATACCATGCCGCAGTTTATCATGAATACCCAACTCAGACACTGTATACTGACTCCGTACCGACCAGTCCTTGTTTGAGCCCCTTAATGCCGAGCGCCAGGCAGGATAATAACAAGTACCATCTTTTAACGTCTTTTGGTATGATGCGGTCGGGTATCGAACTCCGGACCTTCCGCTCTCCGGGCGGGCGCTCTATAAGATTTTGGAGGCGGCCACCTGCCTGGAGCCCCACTGGTATTCCGGTCCCCAGTGCCCAAATGGAACGGGTATAGAGGATCAGTCACTTGGTTGATGACGAGTCATCGTTGCCCGACGGCATGGGTCACTGATCATGCTTTCATGAACAGTCTGTTTGGTTGAGACCGGCACTAAACAACAGTATAAGCTCAAGTTGAATTTTCTCCTTTCTGATTAAACTAAGTCTTTCAACATGTTACCTGTGAAGGTTCGGGCTTGAATAGGCCTTCAGCAACCCATGACTGCCACAAGAGGAGACACACGGGCTCGGCTGGACAAGCTGGCTTATTTGGTTCAAGCATGTCATCGTATCAGAATTGCGAAGATTGGTGCTCATGATGTCAATCACTTGACTGTCTGGCTCAGACTCGATTAATCAGACCGCCGTCAAATAGCTGGAATATAGTGCGGCGATAAACAACAAACAAAACAAATTTCCCAATATCTGAATTGCACTAATTGTTCAGGTTTGTTGTGTGTAATTTTGGTATTATGTACGATGTCTATGTTACATAACCAAAATTGTGAAAGACATGCTTTAAAATTTGAGTGGCAGTTTTGTACGATGAACGTTGAAAATCCCACGATGTTGTGCTGTTGCAATATTTGTAAACGATATTGTAACAGGGGTAATTGATTGGAAATTGGTATTCTATTAATAATGAGCTATATTAGCTTCAGTTATGGACATTAGTGTTGTATGTTTGTGGACCAAGCTGTCGTATGTGAAGGTTTGGTTATGTGCGCGTGGAATTTGGAATTCCGACCAGTGACCTTTCTGACTCGAGTGAGCGCTGCAGGAAGTTCATCCTGAACACTGGACTTCGAATTTGTGTCAGTCATAACAGCCCGCGTCATTATGTTGTCAGCTGCACTTCACAAAGAAAAGTCTGTTTGCATACTACTGGTGGAAGGAGTCGAAAGGCACCTGTGAGGCGGGTTAACATAAACTGGTGAACAATCATTGGTTAACAACCGCATAGAATATTGAGACTTTACGCAAACATGGCGCAAATTTAGCATCGTGTTGTGTATCGAAACTCTAGGTGTAGGCAAACCAAAGATCATTATCGAACCACCGAATATGAGATTCGAACATAGGACTTATATATTCATCGTGAGCATAACACATTATTCGAGGCCTTTCATAGTTTTATTGATGCTCCTATAATCTGCAAATCGAAATGCTTATTTCATAGATTTCTTCAGAGATATGAATGAGATATATTTCAGAAACAAAGACAAAGTGGGAAGAT